TTAAGTTAAATAAGAGAATTTCTGTAAAAGAGAGAATAAAAAATAATAGTAAAGTGTGGAAGAATCCAATAACATTAAAGCAAGATGGAAGGATTTCTGTAAGCGGAGATGCGTGTGAGTGTGTGTGTGCTTTTGTGGGTGTGTCCGTGCGTGTGCGTATGTTGTGCTCGTTTGTGTGAGTGAGCGCACCGATCGCCACAACCGAAAATAACATCTCTACAGCAGAGTTCATGATCTGAGGAACGTCCTCTGATACTCAAAGGAGATGCCTCCCTGCGACAGAGAGGAGTATTGATCGTTTTATTGGAGAGAATTCAGCCACAGTTTAACATGAGCGGGAAAAACATACTCGAAAGAAAAACTGCGACACAATATTATATGGCATTTCAGTGCCACCGACTGATATTTAGATTTAATAACATGCAGGGTTGGCTGATAAACAGCGTTGATCTATGTTGAACGGCATTACACTAATAAAATCACTATTTGTTGATTTGTTGTAAAAAAATAATCAGCAAACTAAAATGTAAATTTGAAGCCCAATATAAAATACTAATTAAACTTATATTTGTATTCGCAATGTAATAATCAGCTCCTATAAACTAGTGCAGTTACAACAACACATATTTTCTCACATTATTTCTAAATTTTCACTTTTCGAAAATTCAGGGAGTTCAACAAAAATTATACCTGCCCCATTCTTTTAATCGTTTCTTGTTCTGTCCAAGATAACAAAATTGAAGTAACAATGTGAATGCGTGTTAGCGTAAAACGCATGGGTAAGGTTAGGTAAATCGTCGATCTATATTATCCATAATATAAATGTATTAGTTGCATTTACTTTTGTATTAATTTTCATATACGTAACGTGTTTATATGATTTCTAATGAGAACGTATAAAATGTTATATTATTTGACGACAATTTGAAATTGTATAATGTTAACTGAGATAGAAATGCATAGAGTAACATTAATTTCTAATTTACAAACATTATCAAATTTAGATTAAAGTAACATTTACAGAATTTATGATTATAAATATTGTTACATCAACTAATAGCCAATGAGTTTTGATCTAGAAATGTAGATTCTTACGCTTTGTAAAAATATATATGTGCTATTTAAAGAATTTATTATTTGGAAGAAACAATTTCTAATTTAAACACCCGTAAGTATTGAAATTTCCAGTTTCACTCGCAATTCTGTATGTGTGTGTGTATGTGAAAATTTAGAGATATTATAATAGCTTGGGTCAACAAACTCGAAAATTGAAGATTATGTAATTTGGTAATTTAGGTTTGAAAAAAATGCACTTTTGATTCGGGAGTAAAAGCATAGGTATAAAATGCAAATGACATGAGGCCCAATGCAACAAAAAAACTTTACAATGGATTTTCACGCGGAATTTAATTTTTTCTGAAATTCATCCAAAATTCTGAGAAACTTTATTAATTTTTGGCATAAATAAAAACAAGGTTACAGGTCAAACAAATGCACCAAATATTATGCTTCTAGATTTTTTATACCACATTGAACAAGTTAAAAACATTTTAACCGATCGGAGCAGGTCATGCTTTTTTTCGGCAGATTTCACGTGAAATTACGCCATTGCAATGATGTGGTCAGAAAATCGAAATAATCAATTATTTTATTTGCTTGCGCTGATCGCGTCGTCATCCTAGGTACGCCGCTGAAATATCTCGCCTTGTTGTCAGGTGGGAGAGAGCTAAGAACGGGTAAAATGAGAATCTGCCGTGCGAAGGACGCAGGAAGGACGCTGGAAACTCGGATCTCTAACAACCGCGTGGCGGCTGCTAATTTGGAGCAAATTGAACAGAGTCACACTCCATAAGAAGTGTTTAATCGTTCTTTGCTTTAAAGTTGTCAATAAGGTTTCCTCTCTAAGAAAGAATAGAATATTATAGAAAATTCCGCGTTATGAAATTTCAAGTTACCAGGACTGTGTCATATTGTAATTGTATATACTGCTGTAAAGATGAAAAATTGTTTCACTGGAAAAATGTGTATTATCGACAAATGTCTTTATTGAGATGCCACTAAATTGAGCACGTAATATTTGGTACATTCGAACTGCCTAGAATTTTTTAATTATCCTACTATGTCCTTCCAGAGTATTATAGTCCAAACACGTTTACTTTGTTGGTTTCATTTCTACAGTGTGTCCGCTTTTTTACTTAGTACAAAATAATAGAACAACGATTGAACTGGTGCAAATCTGTACGTGGTGGAGACCCGAGTTTAATTGAGGTTTGCAAGTTCCACCACCACATCCGCTCTCTTCGTTTCGCCACTGCAATATCAATTCTTGCCTCAGCCGGGCCACCGCTTTCGCCTACATGCCGTGTTTTACATACCGCAATCGCGCACGCCAAAGGAAATATCCATTTCTTTCATCATCGAAATATCCAGCAAATTGATTCCACTACATACTTCGACGATGCCTATTGACCCTTGAATTTGAGCACACCAGTACATATTTTTAAATATTAAATTAATTGCGCTAATAGGTCGGACCTCATATGATGTGTTATTATGTGCTTGCGATTATTTATGAGTTTCAAGTAACTAAGAGTGGCTAGTAAGTTTGAAGTAACTAGTAAGTTTGCTGATTTGCAGAAAAGGTTTTTAATATCTACCTTTTTGTACTTATTATTGAAAGTGTGAAATATCTTTGTACTTATTATTGAAGAGTGAAAGTCAGTAAAATTATATAATTGATCAATTAGAAACATATATGGAAAGCTTCCGTCTTATATTATATTTAAAAACATGTTTATTTACAAGGTAATTCAATCGCAAATCCAAAAGTATCGAATTTTAAGTAAATAATACACGAGGTATAAGCGAGTTCGATGACAATTGTGTCCATTGTTGTTTAAATGTCCAAAACGTCGCCTCACACAAATTATAATCATTGTATGAAGAGAATGTATATTTCAAAATATTTTCGTATAACTCAGAAAGAGAGTTACTAGATTGTATAGGGAATTATTCTCCAGGGGTGAATTCAATAAATTTAAGACGAAAAACCTAGAACTTCACAGAATATGGCGTATTTGCCTACATGCAAAACACACTATACCGCAACACATTTTACTATCATGCGTAACTCGGAAAGGATACAGTTTAGAGCCTTAAAACTAGGTTTTGTGTTCCTGTAAGAGACACGATTTGTAATTTCTGTTCTGAAATCTTTAAAATAAGATATTATGGGACATTCTATTGACATTCCATTGCAATTGTTATAGCTCATCACTCCTTATCACGTTTTGTCAGTAAAGGTGAAAGTTGGATTCCAGCTTGAAGAAATTTTTGAAAAGTTTTAAAGCAATGATTTAAAAAGTCCATTTTTTTGTTTTGATAATTTTTCTGCGAAAACTTTTTGGTGCCATTTTTTTGATTTTTTTGGAGTTTCGCTCTTCTTGGTACTCCACAAATTTAGAACTTCCCGTTTCAGCCGGCAGGGGGAGGGGCACTGCCCTATTAGATGCCGTAACTTGTATAAAAGTATTTCGTAATAAAAACCATTACATTTTTGAATTTCAAATTTAATTTTCAGAGTAATAAGTGCTCGAACATGCGGTACACTTGTGAGGAAAATTTCTGGTACTATTTGAGAAAACATTTGGGAAAGCATTTGAAGAAACATTTGAGAGAGCACTTATTGGAGGAACCTGGAGGAACATTTAAAGGAGCATTTGAAGGAATATTTGAGGGAACATGTGAGTAACATTCGAAGGAACATCTTGAAACATTCGAAGGCGCATGTCAGAGGCTGTGATGAAGATGTGAGGAAATATGTAGTGGATCATGGGAGGGGGGAACCTTCTTAGGTACATGGCAAAAACATATGGTGAATATGCGAAAGATCTTGTGGTGATGCAAAGAATTATGTGGTGGCCATGCACGATACATGAACATGTGTAGGGAAGCATGCGGGGGTCTGGTAGAGCGAAGAATTGAGTGAAAAATTAACTTTCTGTTGTCACGTATACTTAAGCACAGTGATGAGAAACGGGCAAAACCTATAAATTATGTAAAATTAAACAGTTATATAATAGTCCCCTCGTGATGAGCTTACAATGCTTCCGGGTCCTAGTACAGGTTCTGGCACGAAGTTGAGATCTATGATGAAGTTATTTTCACTTTTAAAACAAACATTTCTAAGGTTTGCTGAGAGTCTACCTGAGGTTTCAATCTGGTACTAACTTACACTTAGTGACGTATTTATTGAAATTAATAAATTTGAAATGTTTATTGAATATTTGTAAACAAATCTCTTTTACATACATGAACATTGTTACAAGGTAAAAACATTGGCATTGGGCTGGCACGGTTGCTACAGGAATTTCAATTACCTGTAGGGGTAGGGTAACTAAATTGCCTACATTCCGTTCCATATTCGAAAAGAAAGGTATAATATTCAATACTATGTATTTGATGTGAAATTAAGAATTAAATTATTAATACTGCACAATTGATGCCACTAATGGAAGCTTTTATAAAATATTCTTACATAATCCGTTCATTCCTATCTGTACATTATTTTTGTGAAGATTAAAACATATACAAGTATATATTTTAATGTAATTATAATATAAAATATAGCACTGCACCACCATACTGCAGCAAGACCTAAATCTTCCTTAATGTTCATATTATGGACCCCTCCTCATCTCCTCCTCACTCTCATTTTCACGCTCTTCCTCTCTCCCATTTTCTGCCACTCTATCCGTCTGTCTTTCATCTTCTCTCGCCGCTCTCTCCCCCTCTTCTTCCTCTCATTTTTATCTCGTTTCTTTTTCCTCCTCTGCCCCTTTCTCCCTCCCTCTACCTCTCCCACCCCCTCGCCAGGCCGAGCCCCCCTCCCCCACATCCAGTCATCATCCACGCATCACTATGCCTCCCCCGGCCACTCCACGCCGCAAACGCCCGGGGCGCGGTGCCCATGGCGGCGGGGGCGGCGGAGGGGAGGCAGGATGCGGGGCGGGGCAGGGCGGGGGCGGGGCGGGCAGACGCGCGTGCGCGCGGCGCGCTGCGGCGGAGCCGCTCCTCTCCTCCCCTCCTCCCCTACCCCTCCCGCCTCTCCTCGCGCCATCCCGCTGCGCGCGTCACCGCCCACGCACACGCCGCAGCCTCCCTCCCCGCCCCGTCCCGCCACGCCCCGCCCCGCCGCCACGCCCAACGCTGCGCCGCTGGCAGGCCCGGGGCCTGGCGGTCGCGAGCGAATTTCGCCCAAGAGCCGCATAAGCAACACTCGGGCAACGCGGCAACGAGGGTTGTTCGCCAAATGAAGCTTCGCGCGAAATACATAACAAATGGCCGGCTGGGTTCAATGGTTTCAGTATTACTGCACTCGCGGTTTGAAATGAGCATTTGTTCTAACGGCTTATAAAGTGGTATTTCGACTTTTTATTTAGCGCCCAGTATTTAAATTTCCATTCGAAACGTTTGTGTTTATTTTAAGCATGATCATTTTATTTTTTTGTCATATTTCTCATATTGAAAATTCGAGGAACAATGTTTACATTTAATAATCCTTAGCGATTCGATAACTTACAAAGATATATGCAATTTATACATTATAGGAAAATTTTCCAATATTTTTGTTTACTTAGCATATCATGACGTAAATCACCGGTGCAAAAACTGAATTGAAATATGAAATAATTTTCTTTCCTTGTAACTGTGCTCGAATTCAACCATGCTGTTGCTGAAAAAATGTGTTCACATTCCACATCCATATTTCATCCTAAATGTTCTGAAAACGAAGATAAAATATCATCTTATTTGCCCTCTGATACACAAGGTTTATTATGACCTCATAGCAATTAGATGGATATTTTGAATGTACAAAAGGTGGAGAAATTAAATGTCTCACAATAAAACAATAATTATATTATTTGGTGCTTAAACTATATTTTTATTAGTTTCACAGATAAAACTTGATTCTTAAGTGTGTTTATTCTCCAAAAATGTTAGGATTTTCCATCGCCTTCGAGTAGTAATTAAGTATGACAATCATCATCAGCAACATACCTTTATTTCCAGGCAGAAAACAATGGAATATGGGCCGTGTAAGAAACAACTTCGCCCTTTGAAGCAAAAATGAGCTATTCCATAACTTAATCCTGTAGTTTCTATTGTACCGCAGCTCTCACTAACACAGTCGTTTTGATGACGAGTTCGTTATCTGTGCTCTCACAAGCTGTCTTGAATGCAACTCTGAGCAATTCACTGATTAGGGGATTGAACTACCACTTATACTGGTCGTCAGATGCGCCCTGAGAAAACCAGGGGCCAGGGGCAGTAGATCTAAGGAGCCTCCTTATTTCAAACACAAAATTCCGTTCTCCCTCAATTCATTAACAGAATTAATTTTTCCATGCAGGAGAAATAATTTATAACGTTAATTTTTTTATCATATATAGATAAATTTTTAATTTCTCTTGATTGAAAAATATTCACGGTCCCAATCAAGTCAGGTGCCCTCCTGCCCCCTTTCTGGTCGCCCCTGCTGGTGGTGCTTTCACAGTGGAAGATTTTTTCTTCGCGACCAACAAAAGACGAGACTATGAAAAGTATGACAGAAATTAAACGCAATTATAGTCTCATGCAATGTATATTTTGCATGCCCATTTCTTTCGAGATGTTTTCGATGCGATCTAATGGCTTCTTCGTGTATCTTTCGCATTCTTTAGAGCAACGCATATAAATCAACTAACACGATTTCCGAAGGCCACAATGTTGTAATGATTTTGTGAATTAGGTTAGTGAAAATTCGTCTATTCTGAAGTCTCAACCTTCAAGACAAATAAGATTATTAATGTTATGAGCTTTTGACTGTTTATTATATGACAAATACCAAGACACGTCACAACACACGTATTATTTTAGAAAATATTTCTAAATGCGAACTCCAAATTCTTGAAATATTTCCTGTGTCCTTATCTAATCTTCTTGTGTACATAGTGTAGATAAAGTATTGTAATGTTGCAAAAAATCATGTCGATATTTTCATGGAAGTTATAGTTTTTGAGGATCCTGATACCAAAAATCCTTTTTTCAAAAAGTATTTTTGTCCGTCTGTATATCTGTCCGTTTCTCAGACCGCTTGTAAATAGCACTAGAGCTTAAACCGCAAAAATTATTAAAAAATATTAGGTTAATACTTTATTCTTAAAGAAAATAAGCAGATTTTTTCGTACATCTGTTTAGGACACCAAACAATGTATACATCTTAGAACACATCATCTTATCAGCGATGTGTCTGCGCAGCTTCCTCCAGTCAGGTAACACATTAGTATTTTCAAACAGTCAGAGCTTTATTGGTGTTTTTTTGTTTAGAAGTGATCAGTTTATTTCACAATGAACAAAAATCGGAAAATATCTGGAGAAAACAGTGTTAAGGACAAATGAGAAACTGAATATCTTTTTGTAAATAACAAGGACCTAAACCTCAGTGTTTAGTGTGTTTACTTGTACTTACCGTCACAAAAAAATATAACATCAACCTTCAACTACTTCCATTCAAAATGACTTTGATTTTCGGTTGAAAGATTGTGCTCGCACACAGTGTTCTCACTAACAATAACTATTTAAGAAAAATGTTATTAATTCTTGCCACAGAAAGCTAAAAGTAGCACTAGCTACGAAATCTGTTATTTGAGTTTGTTTGTTTTTTTAATTTTGATATTGTGTGCTGATACTTTTACTGATATGTCTCCTAAAACTAACTAGCAGAAAGTGTGTGCCTATTGTTAGTACCTATAGTTTCTAAATGAAGTACAAATATTTTCTTCAAAATTATGTACTTAGAAGTCATGTATAAGTACATCAGTAGGCTAGTCTGCTTGAATATCTCAGAACTGCTATTCATCATATGATTTTCTTATGATATTGTAATCAGTAATGTATCATTTATTCGTTCCCTAAGATAGCAAGGTTCCAGCAAAATCTAACGTAACCAAATCTACAAGAATCTAAAGTGTCAAAATTATTAAGTTATTAATGTTAAAGGCATATTTATTGCAGATGAGAGAGATACTTTTGAAATGGCTGTAGAGTGAAGGTCGATTTTCCCTTTTTTACCATACGGGACATTTGATAACGCTTTTCCATGCAGTATATCCGGCTTTATTGGAGACAACGTTTATGAGCTAAAGTTAACGTAGGGGAAATACATCAGTCTTTAGTATGATTTGACGGAAGATCTAATCAACTCTTGCAACTCATTTTGCAAAGTTTAGAAGCAAACTCATGGGTATAAGTAGTTTCTGTCTGAAAGTACTTTCAGGAGAGGGTTAAATTTACCTCTGAGCTTCATTCTTGTCATGCCCAAGAGGTTTTAAACAGAATAATTCTCTTGTCCCAACTATCTTCAAGCCTATATTTCCACGAATATATACTCTTAGCGAACAACTTTGTGTGACATTTTTTCACCGATATTGCGACTTATTTATAATTTTTCGTCCGCCACTCTACAAATGTTTCTTAAATATTCATAAACTGTTGAGAATATGATGAAATTATTTTTCCTCGTTCGTAGAAATAATGAGATTTTTTCATTTTCATTCAAAGTTTTCAAATTTTCAAAACTAGAGAAATGTTTAATATTTTTATTACCTGATCTCTCATTTTTACTTTCTCGTATACGTACGTATATACGTAGTACAGTGAATGTTATGTAATGCTGCGGAAAATCAATTTCGATATTTCAACGGAAATACACGTTTTGTGGTCCCCTGATACCGAAAAAGTATGTCTTTAAATCGTTCGTCTGTCTGTCCGTCTGTTTGCTTTTCCGTTCGTCCGTCCATCTGTGAACACTGCTAGCGCCTAAACCATATGTAGGATTTTTTCCAAATTGAAGGAACCCTTGTCCAGCTGGTTAAAATCAAAGCTTTGAGGTTGTGATTTTTTTTTAAATATGAGGGCACTTTACATGAACCCCCCGAACATTTTCAAACTTTGCTCAAAAACGGCCCCAAATTTTATCTTTAAATTGCTAGTACGAATAGAGTAAAATACACTTACAAAGGTAGTATAGATCCAATTTTCATGGTTAACTCTGAATTTTCGAAATTTTCAAAAGTTAGAATTATTTCCGGCGTTTTTCTACAACTATAAAATTAGAGATAGAGATTTTGCCTTCTAATGAAATTTGTTCCCCATAATCAGTTCTTTCAGTAAAGACACGAGCATTTCTTTGAAAATTTCAGTGGTTTTCTAGCAATACTGCGTGAAATATTTGCAATTGTAAAAAATTACAAAAACAAGATTTTCTGAAAAACGGCTCCAAATGTTTTGTTTAAACTTTTGATAGTGATAGTGATAAATGCACTCTATAAGATGACATAAACGCCATATTGCTTTATTCTTTTGTGTTCTCAAAAATTACAACAATTTAATTTCTTGACTTCTCTTACGTCGTTAATCTATACATTAGCGGCATTAACAAGAACGCTCAACCACCTTTATCTCAAAAATGGTTCCAGAGATTTTCTTAAAAATTTTCCCATAGATAATGGTCATTGTACTGTTTAATATGACGCGAAGTAAATTTTTCTGTAGTCTTTTGTTATTTCAAAACTACGCAAATGTAATTTTTTGAAATATCTCTCACGTCTTTATTATGAACATTTCCAGCGATTTGTAAACACTCTTGGATTTGTGACTCAAAATGCTTCAAATGACTTCAGTTGAAGTTTTTCAAAAACTCAATAGTTTTCTGTGAAAAGTGGTTCAAATTTCGCATTCACAGTAACACATACCATTTTCTTAAGAACAGCTGCCAAATTTTCAATGAAACGTTTCATACAGGACGAAGTGTTGCTCTTCTTAAATATTTTTAAAATATTAATTCGACTCTATTATTAGGAAACCGAAAAATTAAGAAAGTTTAAAAAAATGTACTTTAGGTGGGGATAGATGGCAGCTGGCAAGACAATGTGGCAAACCCGAATAGCTAGCCGAGATCAAAGGAAATTGGAAACTAATACGGGAAAGTCTGTACCCTTATGTAGCACCACTAGTTTTATTTAAACAAATGAGATATAGCAAAAATAATATTAATTAACCTTCCCATATTCTCTCATTTATTTTCCAATTCTCGTGTTTTAGAAGAGAAGCATTTATAAATTCCTGCAAGATATCGATCTCCAGATTTTGACTGAAATATTTTTTTAATAAACTCATATAGATGATCTGATCCAAATGCTTTCCACGCAATCCATACATTGGTAACGCATCGGCCGCGTAGAGGATAAAATTGTATTA